GGGCCATTTTCTGTAACACTTCTCCTAGACCATGTTAGCACAGGAGGACTCTCTGTAAAGGTAATCACAAATGAAATTCAAGGGACCAGAGAAATTTCTGGAAAGAGAATTTTGTTGAAGATACCCACAAGAACAAGGGAAGAGGCCTCCATGGGATTAAAATCAATTTTCACACAAAAAAAACTTTTTCAAACCAAATTATTGAATTTACAAACTGGCTACCAATTGGCTGAATTTCCTTTGCAACCCAGCCCTTATCATATACACTGGCCTCAATTAAACACTGCACTATAGGCACTTATTGGAGCACCTACAATGAATATGGGTCTATTTCTGAGCTCTAATCAAGGTGTAACTAGACCCAATTAAAATCCCTGAGAGAGGGACAACCCAGCTTTATTTTTTTATGAAATCCCTGGTTGTCTGAGCGGGTCCTAACGCAAGCGCAAAATCACCAGAAAACTCGCCTTAGCAACACATGCGGGGACCCGTCCAAGGTTATCCTCAAAAACCCACCCGGGCAACTTTCCACACACACCGGATGCGGCCCCAATTAGGTCCACCATCTCTCTCAAAAAAAAAATCCCAGAACACACCAGACAGGAGTAACCCATACGAAAATAAAAAAAAGAAGGTGCCACTGGCTCAAGAATAGAGACATCAGCTGACAAAATCAACCCGGGGGCGTTGCCACACAACCCAGCCATTACAAAACCCCGCCGGCCATTTGTGCAATCCCAAGTTCAAAAACTAGGTCACCTCTGCTGCCCACTACAGAGGCAATTTCTTCCCTATTTCCAGTCACTAGAACAACAACAACAAACAAACAAACAAAAAAAGCGAGAATCACTGGTGTTTGAAACGTTGGGGCCGCGCTGATTCTTGAAACACCGGCGACCCTGAAAAAGATACATAAATAATATTTTTGCCCCAGCCTTGATTCCAAAATAAGAATGGAGGAATCGCGGTTACATAACTGCAAGGGACCCGTTGGGTAGAAATGGACACTCCTTAAAGCAACACTGGGGCACTCCATCATTGATTATTCAATACTGCATAAAAAAAAAAGCGCATGCAAGCACAAAGGGAATCCGAGGACAATACACAGAGATCTTTACAAGAGAGAAAAAAACAATTGAGAGCGCCTCAACAGTAAGTTTCCTTCCTGTGCTTTGAGATTATTAAACTTTTACATGTGTCAATAAAAGGAGGGGACCAAGAGCATTTCCATCATTCTGCATTTGAAAAAAAAACACCATAAAAAAACTTAGAAAAAGGAAATATGAAACTGAGTGCAATGGAAGTACAGTAGTTACCTTCCAGTGAGAGATCAATAAACTTTTACATGCATCAATAAAAGAGAGGACCATGAGCCATCATTTTTAGATAAAAATCATATACAGAACTATGACAATAGCCCTGCTGAACTTGGAGGCAGGGGTTTCTTTGTTCTCTGTCTTTCACTTGCTTTTAAGATGCATCACATCAATTGTTACATACATTGATTTTTGCTTGCATATTTTGAGGAAATAATAACCAAAAGGCCTCAGAAAATTCAACTTACAGAGGTTTGATATAAAAAGACTTTGAGTTAGAGAGGTTTTTAATGCATTGATTCTCAGGGAATTTAGACAGGACTTCAGAAAATGTTAATTTGGACAGCATTTGACTTAGGGTGGTTTGACTTATCAAGGTTCAACTGTAGTTATACCCTTCAAACAATGGCACTGAAGTTCTTGCTCAAAATGTGACTAAGTTGACTTACAGTGAATCTGGTAGAAAAATTCTCAACAGATTTCAAAGTAAAAGAACAGTTGTAATAGCAGTTTACTTCCACAAAGAGGAGCATGACTATTTAAATATTGAGAGTGGCAACCTGCATTAACAATATCATAAGAAAATAATCTTTAAACAGCAGCTGTATCCTTCCACTGCAAATTTTCAAAAGTTTACACTTTACAGCATGGAGTGTGGCATAAATCAATGTAGCTGAACCATCGCAATGAAGTTCAAATACTACTGCCTTAAATATTACTGGGATATTAATAATCATAGAATCAATCGACTTTTTCAGACAGAACATTTTCTGTCAGTAGCCCTTCCAAAAGTAATTTTATTTGTTGAACATAAAACTGTATTTCAGGTGTTGCTAACAGTTAATTTCAAGCTCAATTTGATAATGGATTTAATAACTGTGCTTCAGGGACATGATCTTTAATGGCATAAAATATTTAGAACACTAAAAACATCTCTGCAATGTTTCAACGACTAAAGAAAAAATGAAATTGAATACTTTGATCAAAACAAGTGAAAAATCTTTGACTGAAGTCTAATGACTACAGCTCTACAAGTAAATAAAGTTTCAGAAGTTTTGGCTCTGTTTCTCAGGAAGAGGGATAATCAAGGTTTTCTCAAAACAAGGATTTTGTTTCTCACAAATCATTAAAGATGTCTTCCCATAATTGCTATGAATTAACACAACAAGTGTACAATCAAATTTTGCCCAATGCACATTAACAAGCATTAGAATTACCGTATTCCGCAATAATGATACTGAACTACAAGTGCACCTTCTATGCATTTACCAAGAATGGAATTTTCTTAGAATACAAGCGTGTGCATGTCACTCTCATTTAATTTTTTTTTATTGCTGCTAACATTTTCCAATTCCAAACCACTTTTCATAATCCATCAAGGTCTACAAATGAATCACATTATTGTATTCTGAGTGTACATTATCAAACAATTTTATGAACTTGCAGCTGATAAACTATTCTGTTGTCCAAAAATGCGGGTTTCGGTACTTTTGGCCGTGTATCAATCAATAAGTAGCAGATGCACTTGAATTTTAGATGCAAAATTATACATACGCCAATCTTTTTTCTTTTACTGGAATCTGAAAACCAGAATCTTACTCGTTTCACATAGCCAGCTCCAAAAGATCTGATGGTAACCTGAACAAGACTAAAAATTGCCTCAAGTGACACGAACAAAAATTATTTAGTTTAAAATGCATTGAAACATCTTCCGTAAGAAAAAGCTCTTCCATGGCTAACTGGAAGGAACAAGAAATGGAAAAAAAGTTGTTCACTTCAAAAATGCCGTATCAGGCATTTAATTTAAAAGAATCCATTCCAACCTCACCTGGTGATCCATTCATTCCTGAAGTTACCAAGTGAGTAACCATGAAGTCATTATGCACGTGCAATCTCTATGCATACCCCGGATAATGGACACGGACCAACAACCGTTTTCGCGGCGAATAGTGAACATATCGCTACGAATAAAAGACCGCAGAAAATACGTCCTTCCACACACAAAAAAAAAAATTACCAGAAGCTGACCGACAAGAATAATGCAACTGCCGGGATACTTTCCAAATGTATGCAAACTTCTTGTTTATCTCGTGTATTTCCGGGGTTTTTCGATGCTATATGCGCAATGCACATTTATTCAATAATTCCCGAGGTACGCCCGAAACCGTTAGAGAGTAAATTTCCTTCGTTACGGGATCGTGCCGAACCCTTCCAGCTACAGGTGCGACTGTCATTCCTAATCATCTTAACTTTCGTGAAAGAAAAGGGGAGGGGAAACGCAATCCACCACTTCTCTTCGGAGATTTCCGAAGATGTCGCCGAATTGCAAATGGCCACCTGTATCTGAAGAATTCCGCACAGAGGTCCTCTGCTCTTCTGACAACTGTTCTCCACCAGTGCCCGCAAGCGACTGAGACCTCTGCTCCGGCATCCGGGCGTCTCTCCCTACGGGGAGGGGGAGGGGGGTGGAGCACTTTCTTGCCCAACGGTACTGACCCGCGCGCGCGAAAGACAGCTCCTCCCTTTCCGCCCCGGCAAGGAAATCCCTGTCTGTCCATCATCGAAAGCCCCAGAAGAAGTCGCAAGCCGCGCAGTTATCTTACGCCATCATACTGAAACATCCAGTACTGTCGGGAGGGCGATGACTCCGCCTCTGCCATTGCATGGTCTATACACCCGAGTCGGAATGTCCCATAAAGTATATGTATAGCCCCCGTGCTGTGTGCGCGCACACGCACACCGAAGCGTACTTCTCGGAACTCATTTTCTCCGCCGGCCACTTTCCCCCCCTGGCTTCAACCCGGGTCCATAAAACGCTCCCAACCCTGACAGAAAAAACTGACTCAATGAGTAAGAAGAAGGAAATGAAAGAGAGAGAAGCAGGGCGAAAACGTTTATCTGGTTTGCGATAACTCAATCCATTGTCAACCACGGGATTTCCTTGACCGCAAGGCTGACCCTGATCTGTGTGCAAGGACAAACCCATTCTTTCCTGCAATGGACTGAAACGAAATAGAAATTAAACCCTGGGGTGGAACAAATAGCTACTTTCATTCCTGGTGGGTTAGTTGACATGCGTCATTCACCATCTTAATTTAAGACCTGTTACATGAACATGCAGACTCCATGACCATCATTCAAGGACTAACAGGAGAATTCTTGGAATGGTTGATCTTTTCCTGCATATGATTACCAAGTGATTCAAGCACTCCTTGGATGATAAAAAGACCTGCCTTCACTACAGACCAAGATTATGGTCCAAGTGCATTGCCATATGTATTTTAAAGGACATATTTCCAGGAATCAAGCATAAAATAAGCTGTATGCCTGATTAACAAAAAAGAACTCCATTATGTATAGTGCAGGAATGACAAATCAGGAATTAAGTATGTGATGATTTACCTGGCAAACAATATACAGACTCTTTTTCCAATTTCCACAATAAGCTTCCAAGAGAGCAATCACAGACTGTTTCCAGCTGACCTTATTGAAATTGAAGACAGCTCTAAACTATGGAACTCTGCCAGACCAAACTCAATTTTACAAACTTGCCAATACCAACCAAGTAACGTACCCAACAGTCAAACCTACTCCATGCCACAGAGTACCACACCAAAACATCAATATTTTGGGAATTTACCAATGTAAGCAACTACTAATGAGTAAATGAGACAGTTTTATGTAATGTACATGAGTGATACCACACCACAAGTCAGACAATATGGTGAGCATAAGTATAAGATGCTGTGTAACAGAATGAAGCATAGCCACTATATATTCAGTACCTATGGATACTTTGTCCAACTACAGTATTTGCTTACTCTTATGTTACCAGATGTATATATAACCTAATTATCCTTATTCAAGATCTTCTACATCACAACTTCTAGCCAACCATGTAGATTTAAAACCCTGCCCAGCTTCAAGTATCTTGCAATTTTGATGGCTATTGTTTCATCCAATGTACACATATCAGCAGATTTAAAACCAAACCCAACCTCAATAAAGCCTGTATTCCAAGAAGTGCAATTTTCTTGGTAATTTTTCAAAGTACAGTTTTTGGGTTATTGATTGCAATAAACGTCCAGATAAATGCATTCCTTTCTTCCCTCTCTGTAAATCATGGGTTTTTATGTTGTTGTTGTAATGCAAGGTACAGAACCCAGCAATTTCGAAATGGTCTTCTCCCAATTAAAAGCGCTTTAGAAATTTGGGTAAAATGTTTTTAATGCCTTCGTAACATGCAGCTCTCCTTCCACAGCAGAGAAGCAATTAAACTTTCACAATTAAAACGGTGGAGAAACGACGGTGTGCGTGAAGGCACCCGGATGTAGGGACACGCGCCCGCAAAAAGGAAAAGAAGCGGAATACATAATTGATGCGCAAATGAATAAATAAAATGCCCGGAGGCAGACGCAACTCACGGGGACGCGCGTGCGGATGATGAGAGTGCGCCTTGACGGTGTAGCAAGGGAAGTGGGTATCTGTTAGGCGAAATGGTTTTTTTTATTGCAGCCCCCCAATTCCTTTCCATTTAAAATCATTAATTTTCGCACTTTGCTTCATTGAGAAAACGTGTTTATGACTATGCGTTAATTAATTTCATTAAGTTTTTTGTATGGTGGACTGGATGAGAGAAAACAAATTTGAGAAAAAAACTTGATCAATACAGGTAGACTCTCTCTCTCTCTACAATCATCTTGTCTACAACAATTTTCTCTGCATAGCAAGTTGCTGTTTGGCACCTTGGGGTTCTCTTCCCTTATTTCAGGTTCTCTAAAAAAAAATTTTCAATGAATTTCTTCTTGGTCCTTCTCTGATGTGATAATTTAAGAAAAAGTGGCATTTTAAATTCACAAGTGGAGAGACAATTTTAATTAAATTGTAATACCTCAAAGCACTTTCAGGTGGCAAAAAAAAGCCTGGCATATTCAACTTTATGTTTTCTGAAATTGTGGGTAATTCTTTCATAATGTGGTAGTGACTATTTTTTGAAAAATTTGATGGAAATGAATAAGATTGGAAAAATGTCCAATGAGGAAAAAGACATACTCAAGCACTTCCAAAATGAATTATTCTGAGTTGTGAGACTTGTGACTGTTGTGATGTCCACAGAGTAGATACAATTTTGAAAAACAGGATGTGTTGCTTCTCTGAAGAAAACATTTTCCTTGTTCACCTATCAATTAAGAAAAGGAAAATAATGTTTTTCTTCTCTTCCAGTCATGATATTTTTCAAGTGCATAGCACATCCCATACACTTTTTTTTCAAAAATGTAATTGCCTTGTTTATATGAATATTGTGCTTGCTTTTATATGCAGTATACAATATATCTTCAGGTTCAGGGCAAAATCATAAAAGAAAAATTAAGCAAGCCTGTTTTGAATACTGAATTGATATCCCATGAAGAGCAATTTGTTCCTGGATGTGAGCTAGGACAAGATGTACTTATTTGTTTTAAAAATTCAATATATTGAATTCAAGAGTGTAGGGTACACATCATGTATCCACTTTTTTTTTTATAAATATACAGTACAGTAGTCAATGATCTTGCTACACCGCCTTGGCGAAGAGAAGCAACGGGAGGCAGCAGGAGGAATTCTCAACTGTTCCTGCCTGTGCTGCTGGTTATTGGGCAATCCCAGCTGAGGCTGTCATTTTGCAACCCTTAGCTTCCTGTTCTGTTGAGATTGTGCTGTCTAAAATCTGCTTTAGCATTGCAACTGCATTGTCTTTCCACACATTTTAAATTGCAGGGCTATTATCCCCATGCAATGCTGTGATCCTGAATTTGTCTTTTTAAAAAAAGGTTGCTCTTGCACAGAATGCAATCAAACACATGCAATTTGGGCATGAAGGAATTGAATCTTCCTCCAAGTGAACATTGGTAACTTCACCTGAGTGTATTCTGGTGGACAGAATCTTAAAAAAAAAACATTGGCATTACAATAATGGATTATGATGTGCAAAATGTGGTCACTTCATGATCAATAATATTATATACACACAGGAATTTCAGGAAAACATCAGATGAACTGACTGCAGCACAAGATATGCCAGAAATAAAATCCTCAAATAGGAACTCCTTCTCCTTCACAGGATCCTGTCATATATAAGAAATAATATCCCCAGAGTTTGGTGATAGTACTGTACAGCATTTTCTCTTTGCATCTGCATACAGTACAAAAACAAAGTGATTCACATTCACAAAGCAAAAGCACCATCACTGTAAAACCCTCCATAAAACAGGAAGCCCACATCTCCACTCACAGCAGGTCATCCATAAAACATGGAGGAAGTAGCCCAAATTCATTTCTCATGGAATATAGTTGAATAAACACCCTTTGGCACGCCAAACCATGGGCCATCTGACCAACTGACCCACTTCTTATTCAAATGAACGCAACTCCTAAGTTTCGCGTGACATCAATGCATCAGAAAGGATAACATGAGAAATAATTATTTTCAGGAAGTTCCTAGGTGTCGCTCTGTCCAACGATAAGTTCCTTGTTTTGCTTTTGGGGCAGCGACCTCTGTGAAGCAGAACTGGGTGAGTTTATGAAGATAAATACTAGGTGTCAGTAGGCATCACCACAAGCCTTCTGAAGTTTTTTCTTAAAGAAACCAGATGAGAAAAGTCAGGGGTTCTGTTGAGAAAAAAAAGTGGCATTTCCCCTCCCTTCAATTAGCTGCGATTTCTCCAATTGTTTGTCTTATAGTAACTTTAAAGACTTTGTATGATCCCTTCTTGTGTCCTTCCAAGACGCTAAAGTCCTACCCGTCTAGACTACGTCCTGGCTGACAAGTACACGCGTGGTCTGCACTAGGACACCAACTGAAAACTAGGAACTGGTGTCCACCACTTGTGGGGGATGGGAAGAGGAAAACGGTGTACATGCGCTTTGGGACATTCCTGGCTCTGCCCTTTGCGCTCTGTGCTGGTGTGCAGCTAAGCTCTTTTTTCCCCCATCATTTACTTCCCAGCCACAGAGATGAAGATCTGAAGCACATTTTATGTCTTTAACCTAAAAAAAAACATAATTCAAATGTGCTCACAGACCAATTGAAATAACTGTATTTGACTCAGAAACCTCTTTTGGCCAAACCTTTCAAGTCAAAATTTTAAAGACCTCTTACTGTTTGTTAAACTTCAACACCTATAAATCAATAGTTGAAAAGTATTTTTTTCATGCTCTCCAGAAGGGATAAAGCATCTTCCTACAAGTAATACTACAATTAATAATGACATTTCTGATAATTTGGCCAGAAAAATGCCAGTCAATTAACCTATCCAAGATCAAGTCATATCAGCTAGAGGTGGACATTTTCATGTCAAGTTTTGGAGTTCTTTCAAATTTGTCTTTAAAACCAACTGCATTAAATGTTCATGACAGAATTTCCCTCAGGTTTTTAAATAAGAATCTATGAGAAAAGTATTCTATCAACAAATTGTAAATATTGCTGCTGGAAAATAAATAGTGGCTGACTTTTCAGAAGATATCTTCATGCACAAACACTTTCTCAGCATCAAGTAGTCTTTCCTCCCTTCAGAGCATCACCTTTGCATGCATCCTCAATGAAAAAAATCCCAGTTTATAATTAATTTCTTTGATCTAATATGTTGCTAGACAAAATAAAGACAGGGTTCATTAATTTCCCCTTCAGGATTATACTTCCACCACAACAGAGGTCCTTCTGAAAAGATGAAACATTACTACAAGAGGCTGGACCAGATATATGACTATGATGATGATGAACACACTGAATCAGGATGGAACAAGTCCTCATAATCATTGAAATTTCTGAAACATACTAGGGAAGAACACAGGAAGGTTCTGCGATTTCAGGATGGGCAGATCTGATGCAGGACCGACTGTTCATGTGCGCACCAGACGTGATCCTGTGGTTGACTTTTGCAGGAACTGGTGTCCACCACTTGTGGGGGATGGGAAGAGGAAAACTGTGTACATGCGCTTTGGGACATTCCTGGCTCTGCCCTTTGCGCTCTGTGCTGGTGTGCAGCTAAGCTCTTTTTTCCCCATCATTTACTTCCCAGCCACAGAGATGAAGATCTGAAGCACATTTTATGTCTTTAACCCAAAAAACATAGTTCATTTGTGCTCACAGACAAATTGAAATGACTGTATTTGACTCAGAAACCTCTCTTGGCCAAACCTTTCAAGTCAAAATTTTAAAGACCTCTTACTGTTTGTTAAACTTCAACACCTATAAATCAATAGTTGAAAAGTATTTTTTCATGCTCTCCAGAAGGGATTAAGCATCTTCCTACAAGTAATACTACAATTAATTATGACATTTCTGATAATTTGGCCAGAAAAATGCCAGTCAATTAACCTATCCAAGATCAAGTCATATCAGCTTGAGGTGAACATTTTCATTTCAAGTTTTGGAGTTCTTTCAAATTTGTCTTTAAAACCAACTGCATTAAATGTTCATGACAGAGTTTCCCTCAGTTTTTTTAAAAATAGGAATCTATGAGAAAAGTATTTTATCAACAAATTTTAAATATTGCTGCTGGAAAATAAATAGTGGCTGAATTTTCAGAAGATATCTTCATGCACAAACACTTTCTCAGCATCAAGTAATCTTTCCTCCCTTCAGAGCATCACCTTTGCATGCATCCTCAATGAAAAAAATCCCAGTTTATAATTAATTTCTTTGATCTAATATGTTGCTAGACAAAATAAAGACAGGGTACATTAATTTCCCCCTCAGGATTATACTTCCACCACAACAGAGGTCCTTCTGAAAAGATGAAACATTACTACAAGAGGCTGGACCAGATATATGACTATGATGATGATGAACACACTGAATCAGGATGGAACAAGTCCTCATGGTTCCTGCTGACAATGTCAGTACTTGTAGTGGTGGTCTATGCCTTCAGATCAGTGATAAGAAGAAAGCCAGAGTTGATACCTGGGTCAGGAATAGCAGAAGGTCTCAGACAATGGGCTACACCATCTCCATCAGCAAATAGTCCTCTGCCACCCAGTGGGGACACAGTGACAAACCTTGGATTCGGGGCAGGACAAACTTCACCAACTCTTTTGAACCCTGAGTTTCACCAGAGGAGACTAGGGTCACTCAACTCCCCTGGGTTTCCAGGGCAGAGACAAAGAGTTCCCCATTCATACATGGGGATGTGATATTTTTTATGTATTACTTCTTTATCCACTGGTTTGTGTATTCAATGTGGGTATTTCCTGTGACTCATAACCTTACTCAGTGGGTGGAAACTTTGGTCCAAGGGGTTCCTTTTGGTTCCTCTCCAGGGTATGCCAAACCCTGGACAACTTTGGATGGCAACTTTGATTAAAGAACTAAGACCACTTTCATTTGCACAATACTTCCTATTTTACCTTGTTTTACAGATCCTTCATTGTCCAAATTTACTTGATGAAGGGTTCCAGGACTCCCATCAAAACAAGCAATCTTGGTTACCTGTCTTCCTTCCTGCTCAATGCTGATGTATTCCTGTCCACCCTCCAAGAGTTTTTGAGTGAGAGAAGGATTGCAGTTAGTGGAATCCTTTTTCCAACAGTGGTCTTTGCTGTGGTAACACTACTGGAAGAAAAATATTTGTCTGCTCACTGGAAAAACATTATCATCCAAATACTGATACCCTTAACCTGCCTCCTCACAACTTTTGCATTCATTGCTGCCAGATCAGGGCATAGTGTGGATTGCAGCAACTGCACACCAACAGCAGTATGAAAATCCACCTATTTGTCTATTTTGTGCCTGAGGGAAAATTGTCATCTTGATTTCACTTTAAATCCATTTCATTATTGGCCAGTAAAAAGTGGAAAACATAACAGCACTTTCTTGAGGCTCCAGGAAAAATTCAGGGCAGTTGAATCAGCAGATAGAGCATCCCTATATGATTTGTCAATCAGTTTTTTGTATTTGCTTTTTATTTACTTCAAAAGAAATTATGTGAAAATTTACTTTGGTCAAACTTTCTTGCCAATGAAAGTTGGTCAAGTGCAAATTAACTAATGCTGGAGTGGTATCAATATTGTAATTAAGAACTGAGAAATTATGTAAATATTTTCTCATTTGACACCTATTCAATAAAACCTTAATTGGAGACATCACTTCTTTTATGATTTTGAAAAGGGGAGTCACCTAAAGCAGTTATGATGAGCATGTGTGGGAGATGCACTTTTGCATTCATTGCTGCCAGATCAGGGCATAGTGTGGATTGCAGCAACTGCACACCAACAGCAGTATGAAAATCCACCTATTTGTCTATTTTGTGCCTGAGGGAAAATTGTCATCTTGATTTCACATTAAATCCATTTCATTATTGGCCAGTAAAAAGTGGAAAACATAACAGCACTTTCTTGAGGCTCCAGGAAGAATTCAGGGCAGTTGAATCAGCAGATAGAGCATCCCTCTATGATTTGTCAATCAGTTTTTTTTTGTATTTGCTTTTCATTTACTTCAAAATAAATATGTGAAAATTTACTTTGGTCAAACTTTCTTGCCAATGGATGTTGGTCAAGTGCAAATTAACTAATGCTGGAGTGGTATCAATATTGTAATTAAGAACTGATTTTAATACATTTATAAAAGAGTAAACTGTGGATAAGTTATTTTGGAATTAACCTCTGTAGTGAAGAAAATACTAAAACTTTTCCCCTCAGTGGATTTCGTCAATACTACTCGTACACACCCTCTACGAAGGCTAGGCTGGAACACCTATGCCCCAGGTGCTATGGACACTGGCAAAGTCAACACCAGCAATGGCATGCCCCTCATGATCAACTCCACAATAACTGTCACAACTTGAGGGAAGAAACAGCTTCAGAGACTGGAGAAAAGTATGTACTAATGCATATTGTGCAATACACATGTCAGAATAAGTTAATAAGAGCTTTTAATTGCAGAACACCAGTGACTCTGGATGATACTGTGGATCAGGAACCTGAGCTCTGTGATGCTTGTCACAATGTTTTTGAGCCCTTTGACACCCCAGTGAAGAAGGAAGAAGGCTGTGGGTGTGGTTGTGGGAAGAAACCATCTTCCAACAATAGGAGCCACTCAATAATGAGTACCCCTGTCAGCAATTTTCTTGGAATTCAGAAAATGGATCCAATGTTCAACTTGCCAGGCCAAGGCCAAGTCATATCCTCAATTCAAAGCTTCCCTATGGACAAGCTTGGGGAACTTGCTGAGATCCTGACTCCAGAGCAAATAGCAGAACTGTGTTCAACTATTGGAATTGGAAATATGTTATCTATCCTAAAATCCTCTTGCAACATTTCTACTTTAGCTCAACTTTTCTTGGACTCAGGTATGTATTACAGTTGGACTTTGATGTGCCATTTTCAGGTGTGCATTTATATAAGAGAAACACATAACCTGCTTGTGTAATTTAAGTTAGAGCATTTTATTTCCCCTCCAGATTGTTGAACACTGAAAATCCACCAATGATTCAAGCATTGCATTTCAAACAGCAAGGAAATATCCAACAATTTTATTATAAGAAAATATAGTTGTCATCAAATATTGGCCATAGCATCCTAAATTCCATCAAAGCAATGTATTTCTGATGAAATTTCCAGCAATAATAAGGTTAATTTCATATGAAGTTCATAGGGATTTCTGAGACTGGACTGGCAAATAAAAAAAAAAAAAGTACCAGACCAGCAAATCCCTTTGAATTTTTCTGCAGACTAGCAAAGCTTCATACTTTTTTCAGACCAAAAAAAGTTTTGCTCAAACAAGTTTATGACAGGTATTTGAAAAGAGTCTGCTTTTTGTTTGAAAAAAATTGAATACCATTGAAGCAGCTATCCAGCAAACTGTTTTCAAAAAATTCAGAAGGTGGGCTTCAAGAAAGATTCCTTGGGATGAAAAGATCAAAATAGATTATTTTGGCATGAAAAAATTTGTCTGAAGTGTTAAGTTGAGTGAAAAGTCAACTTTTATTTCTCCATGAGATCATTTAAACTGCAATTGTCTTTGAGAAATTTTGGATGAAGATAATGTAACAGACTTCATTGCTACTTTTGATAATTTCATCATGATATTTCATACCTTTTTGGAGTGTGGAAAAGTTAAAAAAAAATGTGCAAAACTTTTTTTTTTAAATGCTGGTCTGCAAAAATGTTTATGGAAACTTGCTAGTCCACAGGCCCAAAAATGTTGAAAATACTGATCTAGAATATTCTTAGCTTGTATAATTTCAAGTTATTTTTGCACTGAGAAAGTGCCCAGCAGTAATACATGGTTAACATTTTTCTCTGACAGCTAAAGAAGAATTGGTGGCAGTAGTAACACAGGTTGATCCAATGGAGACAGTGGAGCTCTTGAGCCAAGGACCAGATCTTTTCAAGGTCCTGCTATCATCTTTGGGTTCTGCCAGTCTTGTGCACTGCCTCAAGGCTTTAGGAGGGTCAACTTTTGTAAATTTGCTGAGAAAACTGACTGTGCATGGAGTGACAGCCATGATGGCCCACCTGGGAACAGCGCTATTCATAAAATCTGTCACAGGCATGGGGGCAAATGCTATCGCAAATGTCATCAAGTCACAGGGCATTGAAAAAGCAGCAGAATATATCAGACTAAATGACAGAGTAATTCTCCATGACAGTATGCCAAAAATTCCAGAAAAGGAGGCTCAAGCTGAGGAGGCAAATAACAGGAAAAGCACTTGCGATTCAAAAGAATCAAATCAGTTTGATGTGGACAATAACTCCCAACAGGAAGAGTAAGTTATTTTGTCTGGACTGATTTTTATCAGAGAGCACAAAAAAAATGAGTAATAGATGAAGTAAGGAAATCTTACTCTCAACAACGCATCATAATACTCTACACCTACTTTTCTTGTGTATTCAATGAAACATATAGTACTTATTACACTTTTATATCCTCTATAATTATTATTTTCCATTAAAAATTCGTTCAGAACTTTTACAGACTTTCAAAAAATGTCATACACAGTCCTATACTTGAATAGCACATTAATAGCAGATATTTCAATGATTGTGAATTTGGTTAATTTTCCTTGAAAAGCAACAAAGTACATCTGAATCATGTTTTTCAGAAATGTGAACAAGTTGGTGTCAAATCCAACAATAGCTGATTCAACTTCTCAGCCTAAATTGGAAGTAATAAAAGGTAAGCACAATTAATACATTTTTGTAGTATTTTAATAAATCCCAGCAGATTTTGACATACATTTCAGAATCCACTTGAAGTGAATTCTGCAAGAAAGCTGACAATTCCGGGAAGGATCACAATATCAACATCTACATACAGTGTGGACAAATAAAATACATGAGGATGCGCCATATTGTGTATATTATGCTCTTGAAACATGTTCAAGAAGATGGAATAAATTGTTCCAAATTGTTTCAATCCTAACTCAAAACATTTCATTCCCAAATCATTCCTTGTTTGTTTTTGTGGAGTTCTTTGAGGGTTGGGGATTTTCATCAGCTTTAAATGCTAGATTATTTGTGCTCAGGGCTTTTATCCTTTCTTCTTGTTGCCTCTTGAGAGCCATTTGCTGCTCCCTCAAAATCCTTTTCTTTTCTTGCATCTTTGTATGCTTGTCCAAAGCAATTTTCTTGTACTTTGCCAAAGCTTTGTCCATCAGAGCTGGATCACTTTTAATCTGTTCTGACAGAAACAGCATGTCCAAGTCAGCACTCTCCAAATCTGCCTCAACTTTGTCTATCCTCTTTGACATCTCTTTGATGATTGGAAACCTCAACTGCAGATAACTCAACATAAGATGATAGACACATTCTCAAAAATACAAATTAAAAGTATATTCACCAGTGCCCTTTCGCATTCAAGATTGTTCAAGTCCTTGCACCGTTGCAATGGTGTAGCACCAAAAGAGTCAGTGATGGTGTCATTGGCCCCCAGCTCCAGCAGCACATGGACTACATGTGGGCGGTTGAACTGACAGGCCACATGGAGCGGGGTGGACCCAAATGCATCTTTTGCATCTATGGAAGCCCCACTTTGCACCAAGACACTCACAACATCTGGTTTCCCTGTAATGCAGAATAATTATCTTCAGGATGAACACAAATTCACAGGGAACTACAGTAGTTTACATTTTTCAATTAACTAATTTTTGGGAAATTAGGCCTTTGTGAACATAAGATTCCATTGAATTGGTATAGGTTTAGCAGTTTTTCTTGTGATGCATACATTTCAGTATAAAGGAAACACACAGACAGCAAGAAGCCTGTTTTTCCTGGTAAATTCAAGTGACTCTCAAATCCTGTGCCTCTCCAAGGAATAACCAGCACACAGATTAACTTTGGCATTTTGATTTTAACAAATATAATCAAACCATGATCAACATTCTCCAAGAATTACCTGAAACAGTTCAATACTTGGAAGTTAAGTTGATCAAATAAAAAAATCAAGCTCACCAGATATGGCTGCCTTGTGAAGAGGGGTTTGACCATACTCATTGCCTCTGTTGATCAGAGTGAAGTTACCCATTCCATCCAAAATCTTCTCCACCTTCTTCAGGTCTCCATTCCTGGCAGCTTCTGCCAAAGCCTCAGAATCAAACTGTGACCTTGCACTCAACATGTTGAGAAATATAATTTTGTTTGATCAATTTCTCACTAAAGCAAGACAGTAAAATTAGTAAGTAATGTCTGGTGAGGGAAGTCTGTTTTAGGGACCTTCAAAAGGTGATTATAGCACAAAATTTGGCTGTTAACCATGTTGACTGCAGAAGCTGAGTTCTGGGAGTTGGAATTTCAACAGAAAGCATCAAAAGCTGCCACAAATGTGTGCATCATTGAGAAAAATGCTCTCCGTGAGGTGTTCACGGGGTCGTTCGTCAACGTCTTCCTGTGTTCACGGGACCGTGTCGAGTGATTTTGGAACTACGTACTAGAAGTTTCTATGTAGTACCCATTCCGTTATGTCAGAATACCGATATTTGAGGGTGGATTCATTCTTTATCAATGCACTCACACATCTTAATCACAATAATCAATATTGTTTCCATGTTGAGGGTCTGCTTCAAACACAGCAGTGGCACTTAACAAAATGAACACTCCTTCACTTATGAAAATAACCATGCATTCTGCAAAAAAACACATTTCACCATTTTTTGTACTTGGAAATTGCGTTTTGAATATAACATACACCTTGAATATAAAGAACACACTCCTGGATGGAATTGCATTTGTTTTGCCAGATAACACTGTATGATGAAGAATACAGTACTGTACAACCAAATCTTCTTTTGAAAAAGCCATCTGGAAACTGAAAAAAGACTTCACTGAAGAGACAATTCCCTTAAATAATGTTGAATAACATTGCTGCTATTGGACACAGGGACTTGAGCAAGGCAGAGAGCCTTGCTGACATGCACAGGAAAATATGGGAACTTCCATTTTACCCTACACTACCACCTTACACCTTTCTGCAAATGTGTGAGCAAAGCTAAAAATTACTGTATGATATTACCACTGAAACATACATCAAGTAAACTCACATCACCAATAAGGTATTACTTGTATCCACACAGTGAGACCCCAAGATGTGGACATTATAAGTACATCAAGATTAACCTCATGTCCTTAAGTCAGGTCTTGCTTCCTCTTAGACCACAACACTATTGTATTTTATTGCTTCTCCTTTTTTAAAAAATTAGAAATAAGTCCTAAAAATGCAATTGTTCTCCTCAACTTCAATAAGTAGTAGAAAACAACAGTGCTAAACAAAACCACATAGAATCTGATCATTTGGTATCAAAAGGAGATGAAAATGCAAAAGAAAAAGTTTTGCTGGAATATGCACAAAATCATCTTGCTTTTTATTATGAATTAGAAGGATTTCATCATGTACTATTCTGTTAAATTCTAAATTACACAAAACCACATATAATCTGATTATTTGGTATCAAAAGGAGAAGAAAAGGCAAAAGAAAAAGTCTTGCAGGAATATGCACCCAATCTGCTTGCTTTTTATTAAGAATTGGAATGATTTCATCATGCACTATTTTTCTCAATTTTTGTGAATATAAATAGCTCGATTTGTTCCAAAGATATCAAAATTATAAAAAAAAAATGTTGCAATTTTTGGGGGAAAATTTCAGAAAAGTGTCCTCAAGTCAAATTGTCCATATGTTGGGGGTCTCACTACATATGAAGTCTCGCACTGGATATTCACAGAGATTGACATCCGCATTTTGATACCATATCACAGAGCACAAGGAGAACAAAGTCGCAAGAATGCAGTTTGACCGCCTGGCAGAGAACTTCGCATCCGCCTTACACGACTTCCAAGAGTACCAAAGAGACATCGTGACGCAGGAGCGGACCAAGTGCGAGGAGAACCGATGCTTTCTTTCCGGCGACAC